CCGCCGTCGCCGAACGCCGCCGCCGAGGTTCGCCGCCGCGCCTCGTTTTTCGTGCCATCAGTTAAAAAAACCGATCAGTTTTCGTCGGTTTATTAGATTCGGTTTTTCTTAAATAGATCGGTTTTTCCGGTTTATTTATTTTAGCGAGCGTTCGTCGTTTTTCTTTTTCTTGGATTAAATCCGCGATTTTTCTGATCGCGATTCCTGATCCGATTTTCGTTTTAGTTTATCTTTTTGCTCGTTTATTGGAATCAGGCGATTCAAGCGCCTAGAGTTTCGTCTCGAAACCCTCTATCCGTTTAACCAACTTAAACAAGATTTTGCTACTGTAAAATTTGCCCTAGATCCAGATTAGTAGCACGAAGTTGTTTTCTTTCGCCGTTTGACTTTCGTTGCTTCGTTCGATTGATTCTTTTTGCCAACCGGAGTTCTTAAGTTGAACCTTCTGGTTAGATCTCTTATTTGAGTTTACCTATGCATTAGATGAGTACTTATTGTATGCTTGTTTGTTTGTCTGCGATAGAGTACCCGGAGTGCGCCGCCTGTTACTTCGAATCGTTAGGTTTCCCGGATCGTCAGCAAAGCAAGTAACACTTTGATCATACCTTTTCTACTACCCAGTTTTATTGCATTAGATCAATCCTCACACATTGCATGATTAGGATCTAATTAAATTGTGGGATGGGAAGTAGATGAGGTAGTACCTATTACCTATTTATTATCAAACCTTTGGGAGTTACTTCTACGTTTGCTTATTATGCCATGCTATGCTAGTAGACGTGGATTGGGTGAGTGATATCCATGACAGATGTGAAATTGTTAATTAATGGTTTATCTAAGGTGGCAACTTAAACACACATCTGGGTGGATTGGGGCACCTGGGTATTCCAGGACTTGCCTGTTTTTTTTTACCGCCACCCAGGCTCAAAGGGATCATGAGACTATTCATACTAGAAACTTCCGTGTGCAGCCACAAGCTATTATGGGATCTAGCATAGTTGACTAAGTTGTGCGAACTCTTACAGTGGTAGACTAGCAGATGTAGGGTTTGTAGGTGGTACGGTCTATCCGATCGTAAGGTGCTAGCGCTTCTGAAAGACTATGTCTCGGTCATCCGTCTTCTCAAACACCATGTAGTGCGAGAAAACAAACGGAGGCGATCGAGTCTTGTGAGGAAAAGTGCGCAAACCTCTGCAGAGTGTAACAAACTAATCATGGTTAGCCGTGTCCCCGGTTATGAACATCTTGAGTATCTAGTATATGGATTATCATGTGAATCTCAACATGTTACTCTAAATTAATTTTGTTGGGTTATGTTTAATGATGATGCTTAATTGGGATTGAGAATGCTGTCAACCATTTTCAATGTTTAACAACCACCATGATAGTAATTAAATTTTATTCCTTTGAAGTAGGGAAAAATTGGCTTTACGCAAAACTGTAACCATAGAGCTTTCCACCAGCCAAATATGCATATAGAATAGCTGCTCATTCCATTACTCTCTATGTGTTACCTTGCCAGCATATTCCATGTGCTGACCCGTTTTCGGGCTGCAACGTTAATGTTGCAGACTTTTCAGACGACGATTAAGGAGTTTTAGGTCGTGGTTCTATACTCAGTGATGCCGTTGGAGTTGATGGACTCACTTATCTTCCAAGCCTTCCGCCGTTATCGTTATTAGATGGCCTTAAGCCATATTTATTGTATTAAGTTCTCTATGGAGACGCTCGATGTAATAAGTGTGTGATTGCTACTCTGCTATAAATCCTCCGAGTACTGTGTGGTGTCAGCATTACTGATCCAGGGATAACACCGGAGCACAGAGATCAGACTATTTGAGGTCTGGTCGCTACAACGACGCTGCCCCTGATCTGGACCGTCGCGAGCTGCGGTCGGTGGTGCTGGGACGGAGGGAGGCTCGGCCCCCTGCTGCGCGTCCTGGAGGGGACTGTGTTCCTCGTGCTTGCTGGTGTTTCGGCTGACGAGCTGCGGATCTGGCAGCTCGTCCGGCGGGTTGGAGCGGGGGTGGCGGCCCGCCCTCCCTGCTAGGGATTCCTCTCTGGTTGTGAAGTCTGCGGCGGCCACGCGTGGAGGTCTTTGGTTGTGAGGGAGGTGGCCCCAGATTTGGTGGTGGCGGCTTCGGCCAGGGGGCGGTGCGTGCCTGGACGTGGCGGGTCGAGGGATCTCGCGGCCAGTTGGAGTTAGACGGCAAGCCTCCGTGCTCTACAAGGTTTGGTGGGCGGTGGTTTTTGGCCGACCAGTTCTGGCAGTTGGTGGTTGAGCTTCATCGGGAGAAATCCTATCTCTGGCCTTTGCCGGATGCGGCGACGCCCGCTGGCGCCGCACTCTTTCTTGGAAGCGTCGCTGGAGTGTGCTGCTTCTCCCCCCTTCCCGCGGCCTTGACTCCGGAGGGAAACCTCAGATCCGCGGGATCAGGCGATGAAGGCGCCTTCACGTCTTCTTCCTCCTTGGGGGCATCGTCTAGGAGCTGGCTACATCTGGAGGCCGGTGGTTGGCAGCATCTTTGCTGGCGGCACCTTCACCACGTGGTTTGCTGAGGAGGTTGTTTCGGGGGCGCTAATTTCTGTTTGGCAACGATGATGGCATCAAGAGGAACTTGGGTCGCGGCTCGGGCTTTGGTAGTCGGATCTTCCCGGCGTGTATGAGGTGATTTTCCGTGGGTTTGCTTGGTTCCTGTGAAGTCGGAACTGCGGTGGAGCGAGTCTAGGTGGTGACGACGACAGGCGCTAGGTGGTTGGTGTGGTGGGCACGCTCGGCGCAAGTCCTTCATATTTCCCTTGTGATACTCGTCATCAAAGTAGGAGTTGTTGGTTGTTTGTGAGTGTGGCCATCTGTTGGCATACTCCGTCATAGCTTGTGCAGCTGTTCTGCAGTTATGTGTTTCATGTTGGTGGCTAGGTTGGCTGGTGGTGCCCATTTTGTGGGCTGGATTGTGTCGGTTTTAGCTCATTTTTTCATCAATTAACCAGGCAATTCTCACTCTTCTTAATCAATGAAATGGCAAGTTTTTTGCCTGGCTAAAAAAAACTTCTTACTACTACTCCCTAAAGGATCTTGTATTTCTTTACATAGGTATTACTTGATAACTATTATTATCAGACAGCAAGGGTCAAGGGACACTTAGGGGCTGTTCGGGTTCTCTCCGCTCCAGAACTCCTCTCCCGGAGCGAGCGGAGCAGCCCCAAACGTTGTAACTCCGCGGAGTCAGCGGAGCGGAGCCGAGCCAGCAGTAGTTCAAAATCGTGGAGCGGCGAATGAGCTGATCTGCAGATCCTAAAATCGAGGGAGTTCATGGAATTTACGGACGTATGCCACCGATAAGTGAAACTTACCGGTTCGATAGAGTTTGTTTCTCGCGCTCGTCACGTTTTCAGCCTCGAACAGGCCTGTAGCCTGGCCAACCTCCCCCTTAGCACGGGACACAAAACAGATTATTGGGCTTCCAGCCCAACTCACGAAGCGGAGTGGAGCGAGCGAGGCGAACGGTTTTTCTGGCTCTCACCATCGATCGAAGAGCTGGAGTTCACTCCTAGGAGCGGAGCGCAGGATTTTGCAGAGCCGGCGAAGTACCGAACAGGGCCTAGTAACTCACCATTCGCCAGATTTCTGGAGCGCACGAACTTGGTCATGAAAGAGGACTCGCGACACAACGCAGGCTATCTTGCTTCCAGATTCTAGAGCCTCGTCCCTCCCACTAGCATCAACAACCACGAAATTCCCTGCACATTCAGAGCACACATGACATGAGCAAACCACCAGGTGCTGGCGACAAAGGCGAAGAGTAACTAACCAACCAACGACTTTGGCAGCCATGCCATTTGCTAGCTAAATCACTCACCGTTCTTGATCCAGAAACACTTTTGGAACTTGGCGGGGATCAGGGCGAGAGACTTGACGCCCTCGCCGTCTGTGACCTAGCATCAGCACCAGAACGGCGGCAGAGTGAGAACCAATTTTCAGAGAGGGGGAAGGCCTGGGCAAGAAGCTTGTACCTCGATGAGGTTGGAGCCGCGCAGCGTGACGACCTGCATGATGCTCTCGTTCTCCGCGAGCGTGACGGCGGTGCCCTCCTGCCACGCGCGCCGCAGGTTCTTCCTCCCGGCCTTCATGCCCGCTCGCCCTTCCTTGGCGCCGCAGCCGACGGGGGAGGAAGGAGGAAGCGGGCGAGTGGGACGCAACAAGGCGGGGCGGCGATGGCGGCGAGGAGTTGCAGGTGCGGCGGGGTGGACATCTCTCAGCGTCGATCGGGTTCGTTAGGACCAGCTGGGCTGGGCTCCAAGCCTGCTTTCTCATTAGACGGACACGAATTGAGAGCCCACATGGAACTGAAAGTTCCAACTTGATCAACTTTCTTTTAGATTAAAAAAACATAATCAATTTCTTTATTTACACTTAATCAATTTTTTAGGGGTTTCACTTAATCAATTACTATGTCATTTTCCTATTTCCTATATATCCATATTTCCAGTTCCAGAATTGTCTAAAAAAATTCCAGTTTCAGAATGAACATGTCTCCCTAAGAGGAGAATGTTTTGCATCTACAAAATGTCAATTTCATATCTATTTTTTAAAAAGGACTCAACATCGTCTCAAACCAGGAAAAAAATTCTCCTCGCAACAAAAAGAAGAAGAAAAAAACAATTTGATACTCCTTTCGTTCACAAATATAAAGTGTTTTGTTTATTTCAATATGACCATCATATCGACTGAAATGAGTGAATAGACGCACTAAAACGAGTCTATATACATCTGATCTCATTTACAAAAAAGTTAAAACATCTTATACATGTGAACGAAGGGTATATCAAACAAAACAGTCTTCAGTTCAAATCCCACTGCTCTATCTTCAAATCGTCGTGTTCGGTCTGCGGTATTCTTAATGAGGCATGTGCTCCTCTGGTCATCTTTGGATGGTTTAATCAGGCTAGTCATAGTGGGAGTAACTTAGATATAGTAACATAGCGCACTCCAAGAAAATTTTGTTTATATGGCATGTAATTAATGAGGAGAGAGGTGTTTAGAGTAACATAATATGTTACTGTAACATAGCGCTTTCCAAGAAAGGATGAGTGTACAAGCTAATAAATGATGTCATCTGTGACACTACTACTATGTTACTTTGCACTATGAAGGTAGTAATTTAGAATAGTGTCATATGCATGACACTAGTAAAAGTTACTCCCTACTATGACCAACCTCAACCGGGAATAGTCTTTCCTGTAACCGCATTAAGTTATGTTTTTACATAAACAAGGAGGCCCTCTCTGGTTCCATTACTATGAATGAAACCAAATAGTCCATAAAATAGGTCAGTTCAGGAGAGCAGTTCGAAATAAAGAAAATAATACGACAACTAAAGCATGAAAGGAAAACGAAATAGCATGGTTGAGCAGTCTCCATGTAAGAGGAGAGAACTACTGCAGCCCTAGTCGCATGCAAGTGCATTCCAAAAGCCATCTACTCATTTGTAATGTACTTCCTCGGTTCCTAAAGATAAGTCTTTATAGAGATTTTAGCATGGACCATATACGAATGTATATGGATGTATTTTAAAGTATATATTCATTCATTTTGCTCTGTATGTAGTTTATAGTGAAATCTCTACAAAGACTTATATTTAGAAACGGAGGGAGTATATAATGCTAACGATGCACGCCTCTCCTTTAGAGAAATGAGGACACGGATTTTATTCCGAAGTTCACACTCTTTGAGTAGTGCTAATCTTCATTTGAGAGGTGCCGAAGCTAAAGCTCCGGAGCGCCACCAAGTGGCTTGCCTTATTCTCCATTTGAGTTATCCCCAGCGGATGAGCCTCAAAACACTCGAGGTTGGCCTTGAAGGCCACCACCACACCTTTATAAACTCCCTGGATCACACCACAATCAAGGAAGCTTCCGAGCCTTGACTCCTACCGCTTAGGAGCTTAAATTTCCAAGAGTAATAAGTGTTGATGATGAACAATTTGGGGAATCACAAATTGGTTTGCGAATTGAGAAGTCAAAGGACCATATCAAACAAGGGAGTAGGAGTAAAAATTTACTTCCTACGCCCAATCACTACATAAGTTCCCTCATGCAAACTTCTATTCCCTTGCCGGCAATGGTGAGCTTGTTGAAGCTTGTTACCTATAAGCTGTAAGGACATCTTCAACGCTACCAGCAAACCGGACACTGTATCCGTCCGTGAACAGGGGTACTAGTCCGCGGACACGGCATCGGTAGACGGCCATCCAATGCTATCAGCATATACTTTAAATTGGCTTTAAACAAACCGGACAAATTGCATGCAGAATGGATGATTTCATTCAAACCGGATGTAAACATTAACATTTTGGGCTTATTTTAACTAAACTATACCTCGCTATGGTAAAAGTATTCTACAGCCGGCAGTGGCACATCTCTACTCTGACGACATGTCTTCCCTATGTCCGGCAGCCCATTCATCAGACAACCGGGAGCCATGGAGAGATATACTTTAGTGCGAGGGAAAAAATAGGCACCCTCCGCCTCGGCGAAGCACGGACCATGGTTGGTTTTTGGGCGGGGGAAGAAGGCCGCCATTGTCTACGCCCCCACTCACCGGGCAAGGCACCAGCCGTGTAACCCAGTGACGCAGTGGCCTTTGTGGGACCTGAACGGTGGCGGCCTCCCATGATCTCCTATTCCTCGTTGTCTGCGGTGGCCACAGACGTGTCGGCCTCCACCGACATGGATTATTTCCCCACATGTCTAACATGTTGCCACCATTGCTGACGGTGAATTTGCCGAACTCAGTGTTATCCAGCCTGGATGGGCGAGGAGGGTGTGGCGATGGCGATGGTGGTGGCACCTGATCTGGAGGGTTTGCCGGCAAGGCAACCTGAATCGGGCTGGCTAGCCAAGCAACCCAGGCATCTGCAATGTCGGAGAACTCCTTATGTTTGCCGAAGGCCAAGGTATGTGTTGTACAAGAAGGATAGGAGAGCGGAGGTGAGGTGCGGTCCTTTCCCAACGCTTGGACACGTTTATATAGCAGGCGGGCGCAAGGAACCAGCAGGAGAGGTGTTTAATGCCGACCGACATAGGAACGGATGCGTGGCGTTCGAGGCGTCAGAGTAGGTTCCCCGAGACACGCGTCGGTTTAATGGAGGTAGGCAGGATGTCGTTATGCGGAGAGAAGGCGTGCACAACGGGCGAGTAGCGGGTGTTGCTCCCTGCCGGCGAGCCGCTTCATTGCCATCTCAAGTGAGCGGCAGAGTTCGCTCTAGGTCGGCATGAATGCGGGCAACTGGCTTTGGGCGAGAAAACGTGCGGGCGTGGGAGAGGAGTTTTTGGTGGGACTGGTTAGTCAGATACGGATGTGGCAGCGGTCCAACGTTCGCAAAACCCCCAGTTTGTGTCCGGTTTGTGAGAAAAAGTGCGTCCACGCTGCTGAACACGATAGGACCACGCGATTCGGACGATGGATACATGCGGTTTGAAGGTCGACGTTGGAGATGCCCTTGTGGAAAATATTGAACCTGCAATATTCGTTGTTGTGTTGTATTAATCTAACCCTTATATGAGGTATATATAAAGTACAACATGAGGGAGAGAGACTTGGAGTAGAGGGCAAGCCATACACGATTTAATCCTATTCTATCTCTAACTCCTAATATCTAACTTAAACATAATTATACTTCTAACATTCCCCCTCAGTCGTAGTGGAAGTGAAGCGGATGATGACGACTGAATTTGAAGTCTTGCACTTCTGTCTTTTTCTCCGCTGCATCATCATCAACTGCGTCTCTGATGTGTCGACACCTAGTGAGGTGACTGCATCACTCTGCCCGGGATGTAATAGTAAAGCGCGGCGGGAGATGGGGGTGAGATGGGTGGGCGAGGGCTCGTGGTATTTGGTGGAAACGGGGGGTGCGGACCCGGCCCGACCCGACTCGGGACTGAGTATATAGCACACGGTTTGGTTGGTGCCGACGACCGCGCCGCGCGCCTGATATTTTGGTTTTGTCCTCTTGCTCCGGGCTGGGAAATTGGGGTGGGTAGGGTTTGGCCTCGAGTGAGCACACGGTTTGGGTTCGGGTTTGGATGGGCATGGCATACGTGCCACCATATGGACGGCCGTGGAACCAAGTACGTCGCGACGAGGGGAGCCTTTGCTCTGGTTGCTTGGCAGCTGGAAAAGTTGAATAGTTGATGGGGGCATCAGTCCAGTCATTACGTCGCCATAGTAGAGTAGAGTAGAGTCTGGTTTGCTGACGAAACTGCTCCTCTGCTCCGTGAGCTCATTTCAGTTTGGGATGAACAGTACAAGCCAGGAAAAAAATCTCGAACAAATGGATCATCGACGATTGTTTGGGAATTTTCATAATGAAACAACATACGCAGAAGTGGTGGCAAAAAAATTATCAGCATCGACTTAAAAAGCATGGATCATCGATCTTTTTCATGATTTTGTGCTTTTCATAATGCGGATCGACACGAAAAACAAGAGCAAGGAGGTGGTGCCGCCAATGGAGCATGACAAGGGCAAGTATGTGGTGCCACCCTTGGAGGTGGTGCCGCAGACGCCCGTCCAGGTGCCGCCCACAGACGGCGACGTGTTGCCGGAGGAGCCCCCCAACGGCAAGTGTCGGAACTATGGCCACTACCATGAGGAGGGTGGCCCAACCCACTAATGCAATGTGATTATGACCCCGAAGCTTGAGGCCATACCAATGACCCTAGACTTTACGAAGTACTTCCTGGCTGTGCCGACGGAGTTCAAGGTCAAGACAAACACCGGTTGCTCATGGAGGGTCACTATCCGGCTGATTAACGGCAGGGTCACCCTCGATCAGGGTTGGGCCACCTTCATCGTCGTCCACCAGATCAAGATCAGGTACATAGTGACCTTCAACTTGCCGACTCCCAACACGTTCAAGGTCATGTATTCAATGACGACGGCCGCCGCGCTCACCCAGGATTCGCGCAATAGAAGGCTGCCGCGCTCACCCCGGCCATATCCACGCCTACACGCACCAGCGCGCCCAGCCACCCCTCGTCGCCACAGCCACGCGGCCCTCTGCACCTCCATGAGCCATGGCCGCCACCCCACTGCTCCGCTGACCCCGCCGCCGCACACACAGCCGGGA